ATCGAAATAAAACATTGTGCTTTTGTAAAACAAAGAAAATAAACAGGGTGTGCTTTCTGGCTCTTCTGGTTTTCTCCGTGAACTTTTTTTCTGGAGCACGTCTCTAAACTTAAACAAAACTCAGCGAATACTATTCACCCAGCCATGAGCTATATATCTTTATAATAATTTAAGTGTCTACTTTTAAATGGTCTAATTCATAACAAAAACAAATATTCTCTGTTTATGTAATCTTTATAAAAAGAGAGAGATGTCAGTCGTTCTCATTTCAGCTTATTCCAGCTCGTTATCTGCTAATGTGAACACGCCCACGGAGAGCGCGCGCTATTCAAACGCAAATGATCTGAAGCCATCCATGCAAACCTATCAACGCCCACACCAACTCAATAAAACACACCAAGTTTAATCATATTAATGTATGATGTCGTCTCGCGAGGCTGTGAGGAATAATCCTGGTAAATTTACCTCAGAAGTGCTGGTTTAGTTTAATTTCGAGGAGCAGCGGATCCAGCCGAGGATTGTGGATCTGAAATGCTTTGTTCTAATCGCGATATGGAATAGTGTCTGTAAACCGCAAAAAGAATATGAATCACATGTCTGTGTGTGAATGAATGAACGGCACAGATGCCAACTTTTGTTTACTATGTTACAGACGAAATATGAAAGACAACATTTCGTTGACTAGTTTTGGATAGATTATAAAGTTTTTACTGTAAAATAGACATCAAATAAGCGTTTGTTAGACAGTTTCTGCTCATATGTTAAATATATAGTATGTTTTGTCAAAAATAAACTCATTACCTAAGATGTTTCAACTAAAGTGTTTGTTCCGAATCTGGGATATATCAAACTAATGAATCCTTAACTTTGAAATATGTATGATAAAATGTTTACTTAAGAAATATACTTATAAGAAAGATTACACTTGAAATATTGTTAAAATTGTAATTGTTGTTTGCATGTGAGCACTTTTTAATAAAATAGCAAAAAATATATTTACAAGGTAGATGTAAAAAAATCTTAAAAGGTCAATATAGGCCTTCTCATTAAATTATTTATATATATTTTTTGTTAGTGACATATTTGGGGAGAGGATATATTCCAAAACTTCCTGAAAATACAGTATGAGAATTAACTGCATAATTACTAGAAATATTTACCTTGGATATTATACAATTTGCATGTATAAAAAATTTGTGGAAAAAGGCAATTCTTTTTTTCAAGATGTTTCCAACTCTGTAAAATGGCCCATATAGCCTATTTGAACAGGATTTGTTTCCAGGTACGACTGTACTAAAAAAGTGCTTTTGACTTTCATTTATATTTGGATTATGAAAAATTAATGTTTGTTTATTTGCCCCATATTTTTTTTCTTTATGTTGAACAATAAAGAACAATGCTAAACAGATACATTACATATTTTCATGTTTCCTCTTATTTTGTTTTTATAATGTCCTGTATGTGGGATGTGTAAAACCCAACTAGTTTCTCGCTCTTCTCTTTCTCTCTCTCTCTCTACAATTGTGAGATAGAAACCCGCAATTTGCAGGAAATAAACTTTCTCAGAATTGCATGCTTATATCACGCAATTGGGAGATATTAAGTCAGAATTGCATGATATAGTCACAATTGCGTGTTATAAAGTCGCAAATGTGAGGAAAAGCCTTTTTTTTTCACTTAGATTTGGACTATAAATCGCAATTGTGACTTTATATCTCACAATTCTGAGACAGGATGTCAGAATCGCGAGATATAAACTTGTAATTGTGTGTTATAAAGTCAGAATTGTGAGATAAAAAGTTGCAATTATCTTTTAAAATGTTTTATTCTGTGGCGGAAACAAGCTTCCATAAAGTGTTTAAGTCTAGAAATCTTATTGACATGATTAAGGGAGCATAAATGGATGAATATAAATATCTGAACGTAAATGATTTTTTACGAACATTAAAACTGTCAGCCAATGTTAAAGTGTTTGTATTAGTATGGTTATGTATACAGGAATACATGCATAAAAGATGACCTATCAAAACTAGCAGTCAGGGGAGGCTTTGCCGAGTTTTTATTTTCCAGGACGCTCCTGACACACTTCTGCTATTCAAGTGTTGGTTATCCATCTCTCTAACAAAGAGACAATCTTTGGAAATTGGATTAGTTTTCTTGGATGTTGTCTCTTCTGTGGATGCATTCAAGACAGAAAACTAAATGAAAGAAAAGAAACTCATATGTATGTAATCTGAGGTAATTATTACTGGTCAAGAAATGGTATCAATGATTCTGTAAGATAGAACTATGTTTTTAACTAAAGTACATAAAATATTGATGTATGTGTGGAGAAAGAAACAGTAGAGCACATATGTATGGTGATATGAGAAAAGGATAAATAGTATGTAAACAAAAATGGCAAGAGGGGGGAGAATTTTAAATATTTATTGAGATATGAGTTCAATAGAGATCAAGTAGGATACCTTGTTCTTTTACAGTGTCAATTTAGTAGTAGGCCTAGCCTATTTTATTGATTTATTTTAGAGAAGGGGGGAACAAAGAAAATGAAATGATCTTGATTACACAGCAGCACAGTAGATGGCGATGTGCACACTGAAGGAGATGCGCCGAAACACAAAACAGAAGAAGACAGAAATCGAAACCTAAAAGTTTGAATTCAGCTTGATTTCTGTAAGGCGCCATTTCATTCAGCTGTGAACCAAAGCTGACACATGATATCATTCTCATTGGTAAGTCCAGCATGTCATTCTCATACACACATCTGAAGCCGAGACATTTATGTGACATTGACGTTATATGTTATGTATGTGTGTATAGACTATATCTTACTATCAAAGTCGAGATTTTGCTGAGGAATCAGGCGCAATTAATGATTAGAGCTCTAACGTTTATCAAATAATGTATTTAATATACATTTCTGAGAAGCTTTGAATCAGATTACTTTAAATAATAAGGAATCTGATTAAAAGTTACAGATTTGAGAGAGAGAGAGAGAGAGAGAGAGAGAGAGAGAGAGAGAGAGAGAGAGAGAGAGAGAGAGAGAGAGAGAGAGAGAGAGAGAGAGAGAGATGAGTTAACTGTTTACAAACACATTTAGCCGATGGCACTTTCGTTTTCTTTTACCACATTTTAAAGGTGTTGCATCTTTGGCGCACTATTCAAATCAAGTGAAAGCTGACCTTTCCAAAAGATTGTTGGAGTTTGAGGCTTTTTTATAATTTTATAAGGAAAGTGTGGAAAAATGTGGATTTTACACATTATAATCATTCATAATCACAAAAGGTGATGTGCATGCACTAATAAAACCCGATTAACTGCTGTCAATGGATTTAGTTTGTGCGTAAAAGACCAACGGGATATTAAACTCGGCCCATTAAGACATGTTAATAACCAGCTCTCCTTTCCAAACTGGTTATCTCCACTAAAGCCCTAATTTATAATCATGACGTCGTCAGAAAAAAACACCATACACATAAGATATAGACAATGGCTGTGCTGTGATTATTCAGGTTTGAAGAAACGCAGAGGTGTGTGTGTGTGCGGACCTGGCGCTCGTGCGGGTATATCGGTGTTGTGTAATATTCAGTTTCTGTGAAAAACTGTTCCAGTGGGTAGAGTCTCGAAAACTACATATACTGTCTATATGGTACAACGGGGCTAAAGGCACATCTTAAGAAAAAAAATAGCTTTTCACTACTCCTCCCATAGTGTATAATAGCTGAAAAGAAAATATGTTTGTATTGAACATTGATGGAGCAACAAGATTTTGTGTGAAAATAAAGAATAAAAGTGGGTTATTTTGTTTAAAAATCTCATGTATGAGGTGGGGAGGAGGGCCTTTTACCCCATACACACACAGGGTAAACCAGCACAGGGCAAAAGACAGTATCGATGCTAATACTGAAGCGAAAATAAATTTATTTTGATAAATAAAATAATTAATTTTTGTTCAATAAAAATAGGCTATACTGTCATTAAAATATGTTCATTTAAAAATATACATTAAAAATACAGAAATAAAATTATGATCCCATAATAATTTATTATAGATATGCAAAAATTATATTTATTATGTGATATGATTATGTGATATGGTTATGTGATATCATATTTAAAAAAAAAAAAATGGTTTCATTATAAATATAGAGATTATTTCTAAGGTGGACTCACATCTTAAAGGGATAGTTCACCCAAAATGAAAATTAGCCCATGATTTACTCAAGTCATCTTAGGTGTGTATGACTTTCTTCTTTCAGACGAACACAATCAGAGCTATAATCTGTGAGATATCCCGGCCTGATATGTTGTCCCAGTCCAGCCCTGTTCTTTATGGTAATTGTTCAGCCTGGATACATTCATTAGCTAACAAAGTTTGAAATGTAATTTATTTTGTATTAATGCATTAATATGATGTGAGGTCCAGTTACCAGCATGACACTACAACAGGTAATAGTACTTCTTTACTCATACTGCTTTACTTTACTATAACTTGAGTAAAAAAGTGTAGTCCATACATCAACTTTTACTAGAGTCTTTTTAAACATGAGTATCTGTACTTCTACTTGAGTGAAGGGTGTGAGTACTTCTGCCATCTCTGATGGGCACCAATGTTGTTAGGTTCCCAACATCCATAGAAGAAAATCATATAGGTTTGAGGTTAATTAAATGATGAGATATTTTTTTATTTCGAATGAAATCATGTTTATCATCATTCAAGCTGAATTCATGTAAGCTGATTTAGTTTATTCAGGTCAACTGCAAATTCTTATTGCAAAATCTCTTGCATGACACCAATATGACAAAAAAAAAGTTAAAAGAAAAGGGCTGCCCACAATCGACAGTACAGAATGATATTGTCTATTAGAATTGTTTTTTCGTTTGTTTTTTGTCATTTATGTTCTGTTTCTAAATGTAGAACGAATGTAGGGATACAGAAGAACATTGCTTCTAAAATGAGTCTTTATGAGGAGAGAAAGGAGGAGGATGCTTTCGTTCAATCCCTGAACCAAGGAGCAGTTTCTCCAGAGCCCAGTTGTGTGTCTATGAAGAGTGACGCATCCATCAAACTACCACCTTTCCTCCGGGATGGACCAGTGACCTCTGGCCTCAGGTGAGACATGTTTCTGCAGAAACACTTTATTGATGAAAATTGTCTCCTTTTTGTTTGCTTCACTTGCCCTGCTTTTACAATAATAACAATAATAAACACTTCATTTTGGTTAAATATTTGCTGTTGAATCTTAGGCAATGAGATGCAGTGTCTCGTTCCCCTTCTCAGGGAACCAAGGCGTTACATTCATAACCCAAGACGTTCCCTTTCGAATGGGAACTCACACTGTGTCCTAGGACGCTAGTGGGGTACAAAAGCCCCCTCCGCCATGTTGAAAGAAACGAGTACCGAATGGCTGACATAAGCCAATGACTTGAACAGAACTGATCCGAAGTCACAGTTCCCCGTCCTGGGGGTTTGCACCAGTGGTCATCATAACTCTTTATCTAGGGCCAAAAACTCTGGTCAGCTTAGCTCAGGGCCTGACACAAAGTACACAAAGAAAAATAAACATAACGTTTATCTCAAAGAATACCGTAAGAATATTTATCATCCAACAGTTTTCATTTTGACTGGCATCTTTTTACAACATATCAAAACTACATGGAAAGACTATTACAGAGATGAAAAGATAAAGATATTTTCAGTACACTCGTCATCACCTTTTAATTAAGTATGCCAAATAGATTTAAAATCAGTTGTAAGGCCTTAATAAACACTTAAGTGAGCTATTGTTGAACATAAAATATCAACGTTCAGAACGGTGCAAAGAATAATAAAACTTTGTACTTCGTTACTTCACAGCTCTAGTATTTCTGCTGATCATTCAACCTTTGACACACAAACACAGTGTGTACTTTTGTGTTTTATATAAACTGGGGTACTCACCTTAACTGTTTGAGTCAGTCAGTACTTTATCCAAAAAGGATGCATTATCTTATCGAAAGTCTTAATAGAGCCTTTGAGTGTAAATTCCTTTTTTCTAATCTATTTGAAGGTAATTTAATAAGTGAATCAATCTCTTTTATGACACAAATATGAAAAAAAAAATTAAGAGAAAAAAGGCTGTTAGTGGTACATATTACGTTACTGTCACAGTGTCTGGTGTGTGTTTCCCTGGGTGTCCACTAGAGGTCTCTTCCCCATATTGTCTCCCACTCATCATGAACTGCAATTCCCATAATCCTTTGTCTGCACTCATCATCTGTTCATTGCACTCAGCTGTTTCCCATCATCCTGTTAGTTCTGTGTGTATAAATACCCTGTCTGTTTCTGTGTTCATTGTGGATTCCTTGTTTTACTGTCTTGTTGCACTTCCTGTTCCACTCTGTATTGTTTCTTGTTTTGGACTGCTTTTCATGGATTTTGACCTTTTGCCTGGCTGGATTACGAATACGGATTACCCTAATAAACTGCTCTTGGATCTTACCTTCTCTCGTGTGCATTCCGTGACAGAAGGAATCCACCATTTATAGATCCAGCATTATGGGGTTTCGTATCCTTTCCCCCAACACGGAGAAGGAGAGGAAGGGACGAGTCCAAAATTTGGTGACACTACGCCAGCAGGGCCAGACGGTGGGTGGTCTGGCTCAGACATTTTTTACTCTTTCAGGAGGCATGGGATATAATGATGCAGCTTTGAAAGACCTTTTTAATTGCTGCCTTGATGATCCCTTGCCAGCCTGGGAAATGAGGGGACTGGAGATATTGGACTTTGACGGCTTTGTCGGATATCTTCATTCCCGCAGCAGGTGGGATATTTCAGTTGGGCTTAGATTTCCAGAAGGAGTGGCCGACTCGTTGCCGGTGTCACCAGACAAGATGGCTTCCACACTGGAGCTTCCAACCGCTATTCCACCGCCTCACCCTTCACCGCTGGTTCCAGTGGTCCCGAAATGGAGGAGAAGGAAGACTTCTTCCGTGACTGTTCCGGTGGTCCCTGTTCCGGTGGTCCTGAGCTCGGTGGTCCCTGTCCCGGTGGTCCCGAGTCCGGTGGTCCTGAGACGGAGGAGGAGGAAAAAGGCTCCTAACCCAGAGACCATCCCTGAGGTGACTGCCATCCCTGACGCGCCGCCCAGGCGCCTTGCTTTGCCTGCATCGCCCAGGCGCCCAGCTCTGCCGGCCCCGCTTAAGCTGCTCGCCCTACCGGCGCCACCCCCGCGACCCATCACGTCTGCCGATCCAGAGACTGTTCACGTCACGTCTGCCCAGTCAGAGATTGTTCACGTCACGTCTGCCCAGTCAGAGATTGTTCACGTCACGTCTGCCCAGCGAGAGACTGTTCACGTCCCGTCTGCCCAGCGAGAGACTGTTCACGTCCCGTCTGCCCAGCGAGAGACTGTTCACGTCCCGTCTGCCCAGCGAGAGACTGTTCACGTCCCGTCTGCCCAGCGAGAGACTGTTCACGTCCCGTCTGCCCAGCGAGAGACTGTTCACGTCCCGTCTGCCCAGCGAGAGACTGTTCACGTCCCGTCTGCCCAGCGAGAGACTGTTCACGTCCCGTCTGCCCAGCGAGAGACTGTTCACGTCACGTCTGCCCAGCGAGAGACAGTACACGCTCTGTCTGCCCAGTCAGAGACTGAGCACGTCCAGTCTGCCCAGTCGGAGACAGATCCAGAAATGCCCATTTGTGTGGCCGCCAAGGCACTAACGGACTATTTGGAACGTCTGGCGCGGATCCTGGATATGTCGGCATCGGCTGTTCCAGAGCCGGAGCCAGTGTCTGCTGTTCCAGAGCCGGAGCCAGTGTCTGCTGTTCCAGAGCCGGAGCCAGTGTCTGCTGTTCCAGAGCCGGAGCCAGTGTCTGCTGTTCCAGAGCCGGAGCCAGTGTCTGTTGTTCCAGAGCCGGAGCCAGTGTCTGCTGTTCCAGGGCCGGAGCCAGTGTCTGCTGTTCCAGAGCCGGAGCCAGTGTCTGCTGTTCCAGAGCCGGAGCCAGTGTCTGCTGTTCCAGGGCCGGAGCCAGTGTCTGCTGTTCCAGGGCCGGAGCCAGAGTCTGCTGTTCCAGAGCCGGAGCCAGTGTCTGCTGTTCCAGGGCCGGAGCCAGTGTCTGCTGTTCCAGAGCCGGAGCCAGTGTCTGCTGTTCCAGGGCCGGAGCCAGTGTCTGTTCCAGGGCCGGAGCAAGTGCCAGTGCCCGTTCCAGAGCCGGAGGCAGAGCCAGTGCCCGTTCCAGAGCCGGAGGCAGAGCCAGTGCCCGTTCCTGAGCTGGAGGCAGAGCCAGTGCCTGTTCCAGCGCCAGAGCCTGTGTTTGTTTCTGTTTTTGTGTCTGTTCTTGTAACAGTTTCAGTTCTTGTGGCTGTTCCTGAGCCGGTGTCCGCTGTTCCTGAGCCGGTGTCCGCTGTTCCTGAGCCGGTGTCCGCTGTTCCTGAGCCGGTGTCCGCTGTTCCTTAGCCGGTGTCCGCTGTTCCTGAGCCGGTGTCCGCTGTTCCTGAGCCGGTGTCCGCTGTTCCTGAGCCGGTGTCCGCTGTTCCTGAGCCGGTGTCCGCTGTTCCTGAGCCGGTGTCCGCTGTTCCTGAGCCGGTGTCCGCTGTTCCTGAGCCGGTGTCCGCTGTTCCTGAGCCGGTGTCCGCTGTTCCTGAGCCGAAGTGTCCACCATGGCCGCCCGAAGGGTTCTCACCACCATGGCCGCCCGAAGGGTTCTCACCACCACGGCCGCCCGAAGGGTTCTCACCTCCCTGGCCGCCCGAGGGGTCTTCACCGCCGTGGCCGCCCAAGTGGTCGTTTTCACCCTGGTCTTCACCGCCGTGGCCGCCCGAGGGAAAGTCTCCGCCCTGGCCGCCCGAGGGAAAGTCTCCGCCCTGGCCGCCCGAGGGAAAGTCTCCGCCCTGGCCGCCCGAGGGAAAGTCTCCGCCCTGGCCGCCCGAGGGAAAGTCTCCGCCCTGGCCGCCCGAGGGAAAGTCTCCGCCCTGGCCGCCCGAGGGAAAGTCTCCGCCCTGGCCGCCAGATGGACTGACATTTCCGCCCTGGCCTACCGAACTGTCCATTTCCCCTGCCCCACCCTGGTCTGTCCTTCCTGTATCCCTTGTTCTTGTTCCCCTCCATGGACCTGGCCCCCCATCCCTCCCCCTGATCCTCCACCATTCCACCTCCCTCCTGGACTCTTGTTTGTTTTGAGGTTGTGTCGTGGAGCGTCTGGTAGCCGCTCCGTATAGGGGGGGTTATGTCACAGTGTCTGGTGTGTGTTTCCCTGGGTGTCCACTAGAGGTCTCTTCCCCATATTGTCTCCCACTCATCATGAACTGCAATTCCCATAATCCTTTGTCTGCACTCATCATCTGTTCATTGCACTCAGCTGTTTCCCATCATCCTGTTAGTTCTGTGTGTATAAATACCCTGTCTGTTTCTGTGTTCATTGTGGATTCCTTGTTTTACTGTCTTGTTGCACTACCTGTTCCACTCTGTATTGTTTCTTGTTTTGGACTGCTTTTCATGGATTTTGACCTTTTGCCTGGCTAGATTACGAATACGGATTACCCTAATAAACTGCTCTTGGATCTTACCTTCTCTCGTGTGCATTCCGTGACAGTTACAGAATGATTTGTTTATTAGAATTGTTTTGTGTGCGTGTGTGTGTGTGTGTGTGTGTAGGGAGATGCAGAAGAACACTGCTTCTCCAGGGCCCAGTTGTGTGTCTATGAAGAGTGACGCATCCATGGACCCACCACCTTTCCTCCGTGATGGAGCCGTGACCTCTGGCCTCAGGTGAGACGTGTAATCGAGAGAGGTGTGTTCTGAACAACTCATGTCTGTCCATCAATTACAAGAGCAATACTGCTGTTGGATAAAGATGTTGAGTAAGACCGTCAGACTCAGACGTTGAGAACCGGCATCTCCAAAAACTTTGCATAGCCTTTCTGAAGATCTGAGCATTACAAATGCACGTCTCAAGTTTATTTTTGATAATGTGCCTGAGCGACTAATAGATTTAGTACAGTTTAATTTTCGTATGTCAAAAATAGAACTGGGCATAATTTTACTGTTGGGGGTTTGTTATGTCGTGTAGCAGACATTGTGTTACAGTGGTCCTCATTTACAAAATGAACGTATGACAGAAAATTTGGTGTACAGTCGTTTCCAAACTTTGTAATATGGACGTGGAAATATTGATGTGAGTAGTAGCTATGATCAAATCTCACGTCAGGTCTCAGCTCGTGCTAGTGGTCGACCGATATATCGCCAAGGCCGATATATTAGCTGATATTTGGCCTTTTTTTAAATATCGGCATCGGCCGATCAGTTTTTTATTGATTGGCCGATGTGTTGGAAGAAGGACTTTTACTTTTAAGGCGCTCCGGACTTTTATTTTGACGGGCGACGCTGAGAACACCAGCGCCTGAGAAGAGAACATCAGCGATCAATCACACAGCGCTCAATCACATTCTCCATCTTCATTAGTTTACGATCTCTGTCAGTCATATCTAATACTTTGTAGGGATGGGATTGTATACAAATTTAATATCACGACTATAGTGTGCAAAATTATCTTGATTATCAATATTATCACAGTTTTGTTCAAATGAGTTGAAAGTGTTCAAAAAGAACTGATGCTCACACTGAAAACATTTCAACAAGTTTTATGTAATAAGTGTACAATGAATCTGTAGATTACTATCCCTTAAAATGTCACTCTTAATAAGTCTTGTTTGAAGTTGTCCGTTCGTCTTTGGCTCAAAGCCACTTGCTTTACAAAGCCACTTGCGTGCAAGCTTGACGTCTATTTCAAGTGAGTGAGATAAAATATTTCAACTCAAAACAACATTTTGTGCCCAATTATTTCCCAGACGTAGTTTTGGTATTGAGGTCAAAGTTAACTTGCCTTGCGTTCGCTATAAAACACTGGGTGATGGTCACACAAGACAACTCGGCAGATTTGAAGTCTTTCTATTGCAGCGACTTTTTGTTCGGCAGACAGGGTGACCATCCTCGATTAAGTTTCCCTCAGGACTTTTGTAAAAGCCAAAATATGTCCACACCTCAGATTTGGTCCTCTTAAAAGGCTGGAAAATCGCCCGAGCGCTGTCACTGCCTTCCACCATTCATTCTCGAATAATAATTTTTAAAAAATACGCTGAAAATACGCTTTATTTGAAAAAATATGATTACCAGTGCGCAAAAAATTACCAGATGACCGAGTGCCCTGTTACAGTGTTTACTTCCTTTTTATTCACATATTTATATATTTTTAAACAATAATATATTTATATAGCTCATTTCTGTGTGACAAGTATTAGCTGTTTTGTTTAATTTTTGTGATGCGCTAGGAAAATACAAGTGTTGGATCAGGACTCTGTATCGGCAGATGTTCAAAATTAAATGATTCAGATAGAAAAAACTTCTTTTTTTTCTCTCTTTCTCTCCCATATTTCCAGTGTGGAGAAGGATGTTCTGGTCCAGCTTCAGTCCAAATGTGGAGTTTGTGAGCAGGATCTGAAGGATCCAGTCTCTATCAGCTGTGGGCACAGTTTTTGCAGAAACTGCATCAACCGCCACTGGGATTTGTTCAGTCCATCAGAATGCTTTGACTGTCCTCGATGCAGAAAGAGATCTAGAAATCGTCCTTCTTTAAAAAATGTCACAGAAGGATCCACTTCTGCTTGTTCTTCTTATTGTTACACAGAAGCAGCCCTGTTGGAGGAGACTAGGGACCTACAGCAGGATTCTCAACCAATTGATGAGAAAATGCAGAGAGTCAAATCACAACACAAAACTAGAATGAAAAACAATTATGTGAGGTTATTTGAGGGAATCAAACAACAAGGGAATCAAACCCTCCTGAACAGGATCTACACACAGCTCTACATCCTAAAGGGAGAGAGTGAAGGGGTGAATGAAGAACATGAGGTTTTACAGATGGAAATAACCAGCACACAAGACACTCCAATCAACTGCAATGACATCTTTAAAGCCTCACCTGAACCAGGATATGAGGAGAAAGACCAAATTAAGACTGTTCTTACCAAAGGCATTGCTGGAATTGGAAAAACCGTCTCTGTGCAGAAGTTCATTCTGGACTGGGCAGAGGGAAACGCCAATCAGGATGTAGATTTCATGTTTGTGTTTCCATTTCGAGAGCTGAATTTAATTCAAGATGATCAGTACAGTCTTCACAAACTTCTGCTCGACTTTCATCCTGAACTTCAAGATCTGGACTCTAAGATTATTAAGGAGTGTAAAGTTGTGTTCATCTTTGATGGTCTGGATGAAAGCAGAATGACACTGACGTTTTCAGAGGCTCAGAAGGTTTCTGATGTGACTGAGACTTCATCAGTGTGTGTGTTAATATCAAACCTCATTAAAGGAGAGCTGCTTCCCTCGGCTCTCATCTGGATCACCTCCAGACCAGCAGCAGCCAATCAGATCCCCTTCAAATACATCAACCGTGTGACAGACATTCAAGGATTCAATGACCCACAGAAGGAGGAATATTTCAGGAAGAGAATCAGTGATGAGCATCAAGCCAGCAAAATCATTTCACACATCAGAAGTGCAAGAAGCCTCCACATCATGTGCCACATACCCGTCTTCTGCTGGATCTCCTCCACTGTGCTCCAGAAGCTCCTGGAAGAAGATCTGAGTGCCGAAATCCCTCAAACTCTGACTGAAATGTACATCCACTTCCTGCTGATTCAGATCAACATGAGGAATCAGAAGTATGAAGAGAGAGATCCAGAGAAACTCCTGCAGTCCAGCAGAGAAGGGATTGTGAAACTTGCCGAACTGGCTTTCAAACAGCTGATGAAGGGCAATGTGATGTTCTATGAGGAGGACCTGAGAGAGAGCGGCATAGACGTCACTGACGCCTCAGTGTATTCTGGGATTTGTACTGAGATCTTTAAGGAGGAATCTGTGATTCATCAGAGGAAAGTCTACAGCTTCTTGCATTTGAGCTTTCAAGAGTTTTTGGCAGCATTTTTCATGTTTGTTTCTTATTTACACAATAAGAATGAGGTTCTGAGTTTGTTTCTGAGAGGAAAGCCCAAAACTCAGCATGAGAATATTCATCTCGATGTACTTCTGAAAGGAGTAATAAATAAAGCCCTCAACAGTAAAAATGGAAACCTTGATCTTTTTCTGCGGTTTCTGCTGGGAATCTCTCTGGAGTCCAATCAGAGACTCTTACAAGATCTACTGACACATAAAGAGAACAGTTCAGAAAGCATTGAGAAAGTGATCCAACACATCAAGCGAGTTCAAAAAAAGAAAGTCAGTCCTGAACGATGGATGAATCTCGCACACTGCTTGATTGAAATCAAGGACAATTCTCTTTTTGAAGAAACGAAGACTTTTTTAAGCTCTGAAACAAGTAAAAAACTGTCTCTTGCACAATGTTCAACTTTGGCAAATATGATTTCGATGTCAGCGGAGGTGCTGGATGTGTTAGATCTTGGAAAGTATAACATAAGATCAAGAGATGGTCAGCAGAGGCTGGTACCTGCTGTTAGGAATTGCCGAAAAGCTCTGTGAGTGTAATTATCTAAAAAAAAATATGTTTAAATACTGTTAACAAATGTTATACAAATGAAAACAAGCATTAAGTCATGGGAGCTGATACCTTCACAGATTCTCTGTAATGATGTTCAGTAATGTTAAACTTAATGTTAAATTACTAATTAATTACAATTAGGTGTTGTGAAAAACTATGGTAGAAAACTGACACAGACACTTTGTTTTTTGTTATATTGTTCAGATTGGCAAGCTGTAACCTTACTGATCAGTGTTGTGAAATTGTGGCATCAGCTCTACAATCATCAAACTCCTGTCTGAGAGAGCTTGACCTAAGTAACAATGACCTATGTGATTCAGGAGTGAAGCTGCTCTCTGTTGGACTGAAAAGTCCAAACTGTAACCTGGAGATACTGAGGTATATTTAACTAGTAAGGGGTATTTAACTAGTCTGTCTTAAATATCATGATATAGCAGCTACAGGGTTAACTCTACTGGAGACTGGCCCTCAAAGGGCTGGAATTGAAGATATCTGCTATAAATTATCTGTGTTGATTTGTGTTTGTAAAATAGGGGTAAACCAAACCTGCTCATGAAGGGCTACCTTCCTGTAGACTTTAGTGTGCTCCAAGACACCTTGCTGTTATGTTCAAGTAATTTTGAACACTTTTGATTAATTGGTTCAGGCGTGTTTAATTAGGGTTGGAGCTCAAATATAATGTAGATTATATGACTTCATGCATGTTTGTAGAATATCTGACTATTGAGGTGTTTGTAACTTATTTGACTGCTGATGTCTACAGATTACCTGATTGTTTATTTTTTTGTTTGTAGATTGTCTGGCTGTATGTTGACAGAGGAAAGCTGCTGTTATCTGGCTTCAGCATTGAGTTCAAACCCCTCACACTTGAGAGAGCTGGATCTGAGCTACAATCACCTTGGACAATCAGGAGTAAAGAAGCTCTCTGATACACTGAACAATCCTAACTGCACATTGGAGATTCTTAAGTATGTATGGCACTAATACCGATAATAATAATAATCACTAATAATTATACTATACTGTGTGTGTGCCTGTTATAATCTTGAATATATTGGGGTGAAACACATGTGCTTCTGGGCAGGGCAAGTGTTTTATCTGTGTAGATTGTCTTGTTGCCAGAGTAAAGCTATTGTTATCCAACTTCTGCTCTGAGTTCAAACAATTCACACATGAGACAGGTTTCAGGTGATGGAGGATAGTGAATCGGTTGATGGATTGTGTCTTGCAGACTGGAGTAACTGCTTTCTGAATCTTTTCTGAGATAAATTATGATTATTGCGTTAATGAGCAGTTGAACAGGTGTACCTAATAAAGTGGCCAATGAGTGTATAATCTTGACCCATGACAGACTTTGGCAGTTACTCTACCCAAGTCCATTTGTATTCTCTTTAATTAAATTAAATTCAGTTCACGTTTATTTGTATAGCGCTTTTGACAATACACATGATTTCAAAACAGCTTTACAGAAAAGTGCATGAATCCATATTACAATTTAGAGTGTTCTGTTATCAGAGGTAACTGTCTAAGTTAAGTATTTCCAAAATGTACATTAGGCATGTGCCGGTATCAAATTTTCATGCTGCGATTAATCGATTGAGCTTTTATCATGGTATACGGTATTATTATCACAATATTTGAATTGCACAAGAGAAACGGATGAATTGAGGGGATGTAAAACAAACAACTTGCATCACAATGTGTAATTGTGCTTGTCAAAACATTTAGTAACTAAACAGAATTGTATTAAGTTTAGTGACAACATGTTACAATATTTACATGATACAATGACTGGTAGGCTACTGTTTGTATTATTGCTTAACACAATTTTCACGATTTCAGTTCAATTCTTGATTTGATTTCAATCTTGATTCAATATGGACTCATTTGGATAAATATTAGGTAGGCTACAGTAGATACATGTTAATTTTTCTCAAGAAAAAATATATCTCACATAATGCTGTAAACATACAGAGAGCCCTATCAGCTGGTATTATTAAAGGTTAAAAATAACAAATCAAATATAATGCGGTTTTCGTTATAATAACAATTATGTAATGACACAAGTAAAAATATAATAAATATGTAATATAGTGCACATATTTTGCAAAATACTCCTCTCTATAGGTATTTTTTCTAGTCAACTAACGTTCTGGGCATTAAATGGCTTTCCTAAGGTAAATGTAAAGTTCTGTGACATAATTGTTCTCCTGCAGTTTTATTGACTTCTTTCCGTGGTTGAAAAACACTGATTGATCGATATTATGTATGAGGCATATACCTTTCGGTAAGTTGTACTGTATCTTTAAATAAAAAGTAACAGATGATCGGTTTACTTGATTTTTTCATATCAAAAGTAACCTGCTCTTAGTAATAGTGAGAATTGGAACCTAAACTAAAGGATTACCAATATTTCTTACCGTGACTCCATGTTTACCATCAGGACCTGTCATCTTCCAATCCTTTCGTTTCCACCACCACCATTGTTTTTTGTTTTTTTTTTACCCAATTTTCCTTCACTGCTGGAGTCCAGACTTATTTAAGCCAAAGAATAGTAAAAAGAGTATGATGCAAGTTATTATGGTAGCATATATACACCATCAATTAGGAAATAAGAAGAGGGTTATTTTAATAGTAGACATGACAGGGTTTGAAGAACATTAAATCAGTGATTTTTAACTAACCTAATGTAACATAGGGACATGCATACAACACAGGAATATACTATATACATTTTGGGACAGGTTATTTGTGGGTTACAGGGAGAAAATGTCCTTGTGTATGTGGTTAGTACACTAACCCTCTTAACCGTCTCCAGAGCGTCGGCGCACTGAAGCGTTTTTTTATTTATTTAGTTCAAATATACTATCAGATTTAATGTTATACCTTGACAAACTATACATCATTAAAAAGATATAAGACTCAAGATTCAGTATTTGACCACTATTGTATTCTGAGAAACTTATAGTGACAGTTATGTCTTAATTTGTGTCAGGAGTTATGAAATTAAAAAATGAGTCGTTACCTTTAATATGAATTATGAGCCTCAGCCGGTCTCATTCAGAAAAAAACTCCCGTGCGATCGTCATGACAGCGCTTGACAAAACAACGTCCCTCAGGGCTTTTAGCTCAAACATGTGCAGATTTGGAGAAATATTGATAGATTCTCATAGCTTTACATTAGACTTCTATAGACAGGAATAATATTTATTGAATTTATACCCAAATGCGTCGATGTAATCATTTTGAGCGCTGTATACTCTGTACTGTGTTATCAATTCATCCTGAAAGTGAGGGCGCTGTTTGAACAGAAGTCCATAATATATGGATCACATGAAGAAGAGCCATAATCATGTGACATTCAGGAAGTCCTGCCACAACAAAGCTATCCGAGATCGCTGTAAAGTGCAGATAAAGATGTTTTGAAGACAATAAACATGATTGCAATGATATTTGATTTACCTGTGTTCTTCGAGTCATGTCAGGTATTTTCATAATAATTGATTATATGTATAATGTAATGCTAATCGAGATAGACTTTCAAATTGTGCAGAATACAATAAAATAATATATTTTCTATCTGATTTTTTTATCTGAAGCCAAATCAGATTACAGAAAGTTATTTAAAACACTCGACTTGCGCTATAAAGATAGTTTTATTCTCATAAATTGTCGTGTATTGATGGTGTGCTAAGCTAACATGCTAGCTAGTACTGAGCACCTGCTACCTTACTTCGGTGTAATTTTTATGATTTTTTTCTAAATAAGAATGCTTACTGAAATGTTTCGTTTTTCAAAAAGGGCATTTGATACAGTTTCACTGTGAAGTGAGAACTTTTATAAAATAAATGAGGGATTGAAACAGTGTGAATTGCTAGTCGTTAGTGATTATAATGCAGACAAAAGAAAAGCATATTTAGAGCAATAAACTGGCTGGAGAGGTGTGAATATGTGCAGGGGAGACTGAGACTGAATGGGGCTCGTTTTTGCATCACAAAACAATAGAGGCAATAGACTGAATAGATGCTTATAAGAAAACAATAAACACCAGTCTAATCAAAATAAAGTCATATGACATGATCTTGAAAAACATTGAACTAAATACAGAGTTTTAGACTTATCATCTTCAAATTTTAAATATAACATGGCCAGACATGTGGCTTTAGCTGCAGTGCATTTCTAGATTGCTACAATGCCAACTTCAATTTTATTTTCATGAAGATGTTTCATAAAAATAAATGTATAATAACTTTACAAAACTTTGAAGCTATTTATAACTATTTTTTTCATTATGATAATAATTAATTCTACATTTACAATAAACTTCCAGGTGTCAGCTTTCAAATGAGATCTTACTTGTGCTTTTAGTACAAAGGGTTCATGAACTGTATCTGTTTCAGTTTGGGAATGCCATATCTGGGGATTTTTCAAAAATGGGCTTGAAGCTTAACAGGTTAAGTGATCTCAGTTTCTTGTCTCATCATGTCACATGATGTTAGCAGGCATGGTAATAGGAAGTCATCCCTTCCCCATGGAGTTTCTTTGAAGCTTGTGGAAAGTGTCTCCTGATTAGCATCAGCAAGGTTAGAAGTGGTGATAAAGATCTTTGAGCAAATGTTGGCTAGGAACCCCTTGGTTCCAGGCCTGTGATTTTGTTGTAAAGTGAAATGGGAAGGGGGGAGTTTACAATGGCTTTGACATGACTCACCATCTTGTTCGCATCTGAATGCTACATTATTGTGTTGATGTTGGATTGCAACATTTTTACCCTTTTGGGGGTGAAAAGTGGATCAACATTTATAGATGTTACAGAAATTAATTATAGCTGTCAATAATTTTACAATGTAAAAACTGGGTGTGCAAAGAGTCCGGGGACCAACATGTAACTACATCAACTTTATTCTCTGTTATGTATGCAAATAATTTGTTTACAAATACATTAATGTTGTATGATACGAACAGAATGACATGCCTGTGCATGTTTTTTTCCTCTCTCAGTATAGATCATGGAGGAGAGATCAGGATTACATCAGGACCAAAGAAATGTAGGTCTACACACACACTCAATGGCTGTGTGGAATGGCATTATACATCTGGACTGCTTTAAATCACTCACGTGTTCAAGCCATTTAAAAACATGGATGAACTAAAAAAAGGCACATTTGGAGGCACAGTTAAGGGGTGTTTTTCAAACTTATTGGTCATAGCACACAGAATAATTGAATACTAATTATTAGTAGTATTATACACACAATAACTGCATGTGTCCAACTACTCTGTTTTAAGGGACCATCCATCAAATGTGGACACCATTTTTATATCTCTTAGTTTTCTTTTCTTTTTTACTCTATGGTAGCCTTTAAAACCATACATAGGAAAAGTTATTAAATATTGCACACAGATAGAGAACAGTCTGACCATATACCATTAGCAAAATTAAAATCTCGATTCGAACTCATTCTAGATCTTTTAACTCATATTCACAGAATTTGACACATATCACCATTAGACAATGGAGGTCAGATCAAAACTTTATTAAAAACTTTTTAATTTGATAGTGAACATGCCAAGCAGGACTTAATTGAGGCTGTATCTTCACAATATTTTGACAATGTATATGGCAGTTTCAACACAGCGCCATCTACAGACCAAGAAATAAGAAAATGGCTGTTTTGTTTATAACTTCTCAATTGTTTTTTGCCTAATAATACTATTTAGATTGTGTGTAGCATGCAGATTCAAATGATACCCAATTTTCCTGTGTCAACCATTTTGGGTGTTTCTGAATTTTGTCAGTAAAAAATTCTACATTGGCATGTAATGACCAAACACACACACACACACACATACATACATTTTTTATTTTTTTTATTTTAGTTGAGTTGTTAGGGAAAGCACACACTTTTTTTCTACCATATCTGTTGTCTATTTCTTGCATTTCTTTAGTGATACTTCTGTAAAGATGTTTAAACTGCATAAATCATAGTGTTTGATTGTGGTCTAAACACTCAATGTTGAGACGGTTAAAAACGTTCTCTCTTCTCGTGTTCAGATGCCTGTGATCTCACACTGGATCCCAACACTGCACAGGCGTATCTCGCTCTGTCTGAGCAGAACCGAAAGGTAACATACATGAGAGAGGAGCAGCCGTATCCGGATCACCCAGAGAGATTTGAGGAGGTTCCTCAGGTTCTGTGTGGAGAGAGTCTGTCTGGACGCTGTTACTGGGAGGCTGAATGGAGTGGAGATGCTGAAATATCAGTGACATATAAAGGAATCGGCAGGAAAGGAGGAAGTGATGACTGTGAGTTTGGATCCAGTGACATCTCCTGGAGTCTGTTCTGCTCTGATAACAAGTTTACTGTCCGTCACAATAAGAAGAGCACTGAAAAGCGTGTCCCTTCAGGCTCCTCAAAGAGAGTGGGAGTGTATGTAGACATGCCGGCCGGCACTCTGTCCTTCTACAGCGTCTCTGACACACACACACTCACACACTTACACACGTTCAACACCACATTCACTGAACATCTCTATGCTGGATTTGGGCTTTATTTCCTCACCTCAGTGTCTCTGTGTCAGGTTTCCCACACCTGACTGGAATAATCCCCAGTGGTTAGTGCATATAGTCCTGCTCCATGACCTTAAAATTCATGATTATAAAATTCCTTCCTAAGGCAGTTTTATCCTAAATGACTTTGAGAACAGTATAATTTACTTCCTGTCAAAATTAACATGTTAACGCATGCGATTCTTTTTTTCAGTTTAATGCGTACATTTTTTTAAAGAAATTAATGCTGCATCCTTTTTTTCTGTCATCCTTTCCCACAGTATATGATCTCGCTAAAATTAATTTAACCATTTAAGCGTGATAAAACACCCCAAAAATAACTTAAATCTGTACTGGCGCGCATTGAGTTCTCTTTCGCGTTTGAACGGACGAAAATACACAACAGTACACACAATGGCTGCTTTGTGGAGTATTATCTTAAGCACAGTCTTAAATGAGTTAATTTAACTCTTAAATATACGTAAAGAGTTGTGAGAAATAGGACGCGTGTCAGATCTGCATTATGTGCTTCAGCTCTTAAAGTGACAGTAGCCTAATAAACCCGCTGCTGTTTGTCAATGTTAATCAAAGAACAAAAGACAGAAGATCACTCACTGCTCGACTGAATATCTTTTGTAACTATAAGGATTCATTTATATTAAATTTATCATTTATGCAGTGAAGACTGTGAAGTGCTTGATAACTTTATTCAATTTCTGTATATTTCGTGTTACTCGTCTATTTTAGATACACTGTCTTTATGTTGCTTCTACATTATTAGGGGGGCTTTCACACTGGGCTTGTTTACTGCGGTCCGAGCCATGCGCGGATACACTGCAGACTCACTCTCGCTCGTATCCACGGTACATCATCATCCCTTACATGTGTTTTATTTAATACATCATAATCGGCTAAAACGCATGCGCAGGATACTTTACTTCCTGAACACCCGAGTCCATGTTGCTTTCACATTCACGCGAACCGCGGCCTGTGCCGAACTAAACTGCCAGTGTGAAAGCACCCTTCGTTTATTTGAAATTATTACAATATAAAAATATATTAAAAATTGATTATTGTGATTAATTACAGAAAACTTTGTGATTTCATAAGTTTATTTTTTTAATCGATTGACAGCACGTCACGATACAATATATTGAAATAGATCACAGACAATTATATTACCACATTCACATCATATTAGATCTGTTGTTACCGCTCCAAAAAAAATTTGATTTATTTGACTGATTAAATGTAAAATTTAATTAAACATAATTGACACCCTGTGAGGAAAATCTTAAGTAACTTTTTAATAAATCATCAGGAAACATGTATTGGTACATTTCTCTGTGTGACCATTTAACTTCTGATTAACTGTTAATGTGCTGTAAAATCTGACAAATCCTTTAAAAGTGTAGAGGAAACTGAAGGAATTGCTTATAAAAATGAGAATACTAAAAGTCCTCTATATTACACTGATTAATTCTTGTCTAAACCATTAATGTACACCGCATATTATATCCCTATATGTATCGTGGTGGTTGTGCTCTTCTCTCTCTCTCTCTCTCTCTCTCTCTCTTTCTATATCTCTCTCTCTCACTCTCTCTCTCTCTCGATCTCTCTCTCTATATCTCTCTCTCTCTCACTCTCTCTCTATCTCTCTCACTCTCACTCTTCTCTCGCCCTCTCTCTCACTCTCACTCTTCTCTCGCCCTCTCTCTCTCTCTCGCTCTCTCTCTCTCTCTCTCTCTCTCTCTCTGCCCTTTCTTTCATTTTTCTTCAGCATTTGAAAATGCTCTGTAAATTGTTTCTTGTTGTTGGTCTGTGGTTATTTGGTAGCCTATATATGTTTTTCTGTTTCCTTTTATATTTTATTGAACTGCACTTTGGTCCACATTGTGGTTTTAAAAGTGCTTTTAGAAATAAAGATGGGTTTGTAGAGGATTGGGAGCCATTTATTCTTGGATTACAGTTTCATCTCTCCGTTGTTTGAGGGAGGGAGAGGAGTTTATTGGATTTAGTTTTTAATCGTGTTAAGAATTATGTCCGTTTCTAAACAAAGCATTAGACCTGGGTTTTGTTTGTGATTTTGTGATATGCCCATCCCTGAAGCCTTTCAGATAATCGGCTACATAAAGAGGAAAAATAAATAAATAATTTGAAAGATTTTGTTGTACACATGCGTGTCCATTATTTCTTTGCCTCGAGCCTAGGCTGTAACACAGCATCCAATGTCAGAGGAAAAACTCACTCTCTTCTCTACACTGACCAAAGGGGATATTAGAGCCTTGTAAAAGGTGTAAAGTAAGTGAAGTATTTCTTTCCTGAACTGATACATTTTACTGCCTATCTTGTCATATAATGATTTCATTGACCTTAACTGTACTGAAAATGGCTCCAAGGAACTGCACATGATGCATGTAATGACTCAAAACACACAGATTTATCAAAATATCATTATTGGATTGCAAGTAAAAATGCATCAAATGCGGTCAATAGTGAAACTGTGTGAGTGAGCATTGCAATGTTGTGTTGTAAGATGCGTCCCATTCGCCATGAGAGACCCAGATTGTCCTCTGATTACAATTTTTGCTATACCAAATTAATGTTTGTAAAATTACTAGGAGGGATGCCATTCAAGCAAATTATGTCGACTTGTCAAGTTATTCCAGCCCACATACTCAACCCTAGGACACCCTAAAACACAGCTTACCCCTAGCAGAGGTCATTAAATTAACAGCGGATCTGCAAATAATCCCCAGTCTCCGTGGAAGGTAACAAAATGTTTAAATAAAAGGGAAATGTATTGCTTTCTCTCTCTGTTTTTGTCAGAAATCTAGGGATAGCCTCAAAGAAGAGTTGGAGAGACAAATTCAGCTGGTGAAATGGGACCTCAAAAATACCTGTGGTACATGAACTACATGAACTACATGAACTTAAATCTGTGCTAAAAGATTTACTTTTACATAGAACTCGATTCATTGTAAGGGAAACGGGTAAATTTAACCAAAATAAATTATTAATTCATTTCTAGGGAATTTTGAAAAAGTGACTTATTTTACGGCTTAACAAATGACTCGTCTAGTGCTCAGTTGAACGGTTCGTAACATCGCTCTGTAGCGGATATTAATATCAGAACTATAGTGAAAGTACTATTTACTCATTAAGACTATTGATTATTCTAACAGAAACTAATATCTACCACATTCATACACGTTGCAGAAAGAAAGTGAGTTTTAAGAGAGTGAAATTATGAAATCCCAAGTTTCTATCAATATATGCACATTATAAGACATGACCTGAACGAGCCATTAATCATTCATTTAACCCTGCTATCGCTTCTTAGGCAGGGTTATTAATCTTCATATCAACGCACCAGTTCAGCTAGAATCTGGAGGCTACTTGCGTTTGTGTGTTTGATCCCATCGTCAGAGGGACTCCGAATATGAACGTAACGCTCAAAGTTTAATGCTAAACATTTTTTAGTAAAATACGGGCATAAAGTTGGCTTGACATTGGAAGTTCAGTAGAGGCCGTCTCTAAAGTTACATACGACATTGACATACATGTTTTAAACTTCAACAGCATTTGACGAGTATCATATGGTATGAATGTCCAAATAAAACAAAACAAATGTGTTCAACAAGCTGATGTTTTGTACTTACTGTAGAAAAAGTCTTAGATCTTTGAGATCAGCTCATGAAAAATGGGGGCAAAAACAAAAGGGTTGCGTTTATAATTTTGTTCAGTGTATATCCACTGCAGAGCTGATAGTAAAATGAACACTGGACCGTAAATAAGTGATTCTTTCAAAATTCCCTTTAAATTAATTAATAATTCCCTTTGAGCTAAATTACCTGTTTCTCTTGCACTCTTCATTGTATTACCCTGTAAAACTGTACGAGTAAGACAAAAGAAAGACTCTTCATGACCAATTTGAGACTTCCAGTGTATTGTTTATCTGGATGTTCATGTCCTTCATGTTTCCTCGTCTTTGCTCTTACTCTCTGCAAGATCACAACTGAGTTACTTCCAGTTAAATATCCTTTTCAGTTTCTGTTGTATTCCACCAGTACCTGATGAGTTGTGTGCTCTACAGCTGTGGCCAATATATTACTGTCCCATTCCTGGGAAATTTGTCTTGGACAGCATGACACGGCCAGTACACAACTTCGATCACACACAACACAGTACATACAATAACATGCGATAATAAGAAAATAATGACATTCCAATGAATTATTTAAAAAACTAGCAGCATACTACATCAAAAAATTTCGAAAATGGGTTCATTACTCGAAGCTTCAGTTGCAGCGACCTCTCCTGGCGAAAAGCAAGGCTGCAGTCAAATTAATCAGTGAGCAGTATTGGAGAAACTACTTTAGTTCTGAAGCATCTTTGCTAAGATCACCCTTGGATTTTTAACTATATTTCCTTTGAAAACTCTTTGATGCACACGCTAATGCTGAGCATAATGTTCTATTTACAAATAAAAATTGATAAATGTATGTTTTGTGTTATTTAGGAGAGAGTGCTGGGAAAATATGGCATAGGTTGGGTGTGCTTGTGTAACTATGGCAGGGGGTGATTTTTGGGATGGGGAACACTCAAAGATTTTTATTGAGGTACATTATTTTTTCAACAGTTTTTGGACTGAGTCGGTTTCTTTTTTTGCTCACAACCTCTCCAGACTTAGAAAACACTCGCTCACAAGGAACAGATGATGCTGGCGAACATAATTATTTTTTTGCAAGATTAAACAGATGAGGGTACACATTTTGATGGTTTTGTACATTGTACAATTGTACATTGTTTAGAGTGGTTATAAAGACTAAAAGGCGCTCAAAACTGTTTCAACCTATCACCTGTCAGAATCGAGACGCGCCGTTCCAGTGAATCACCTGATTGGACCGCAAACCAGTCAGATGATTCATTCAGGCAATGAAGCACTTGCTGCTTCGGACGTCATATGTCACATGATTTTTTTCGCACCAAAGCAAGCTTTGAAGCAGTGGTTCTCTAGGTTTGTAGTTCAGGGTTTCGAAGCACGTATCGAAGCTTCAGCGTCACACTGCCATCACTACACG